CTCACTGTCCCCTCACACAGCACTGTCCCCTCACACAGCACTGTCCCTCCCCTCACTGTCCCCTCACACAGCACTGTCCCCTCACAGCACTGTCCTCTCACACAGCACTGTCCCTCCCCTCACTGTCCCCCTCACACAGCACTGTCGCCCCCCGGGCGCTGTCCCTCCCCTGCGCACCCACAGCTCCCAGCGCGGCCGTACCTGTGCCGGGGGCGGCAGCAGCAGGAGCAGCGGCAGGAGCAGCAGCAGGAGCAGCGGCCGGAGCCCGCGGAGCCCCCGCGGTGGCGGCGCGGCGGGGCCGCCCATGTCCCGGCCAGGCCGGGCCGCGCTGTCGCCGTGAGTCAGCGGGGCCGGGGCGGGTCCCGGACGCGGCTTCCGCCCCCCCCCCGCGCTCCGCACACGCTCCGGGGCACCCCGGGCCCCCTTCCCGGTTCCCCCCGCGGTTCCCGATCGTTGTCAGGCGCAGGAGGAGCCGCCCCCTCGTTCAGCGCACACCCCCCGCATCCCTCCCCCGGCGGCGGTCACCGCTCCCATCCCGCCCGCCCGGACACCGAGCCGGGAAAAATTCCTCTCCCCGGTAACGGGAGGCAGCCCCGGCAGCCCTGCCCGGCGGTACCGGCACAGGACTGGCCGCCGCCGCGCCCCCGGCCCCGCACACTCAGACCCGCTTCACCCATCCCCAGCCCCCGGTGCCGGGAGCTCTGCCCGAGGGACAGCGGGGCAGCGCTGGGACACCCCCCGTGAACTCAGTATTGAACCCTGGACACTAAACCGAGCGGGACGTGCCCCCTGGCACGTTGGGAGAACGACAGAGCAGGTTTGGGGATTTATTTCTGTGATCCCTCTCTTGATCTGTCAGCGCTGGGGGTTTTTCGGGTGGGGGGAGAGGAGGTGCCTAAAGCCGGAGGCGAAGCCGAGCAGCGCCCATTCAGCGACAGAGGTGCGGCTGCAGAAAGCCCAGCACAGGGGCTGCCCCAGAGCACCTCTGGGGGCTGTTAAACGGGACTGTGACACCGCAACCGGGGCTGGGCCAGCCCAGCAGGACCAGGACAATTTTGGTGTAAAAGGAAATTAAAGTCTGGCTTTGGGCAGGGGGTGGAGAGGGACCATCCTGTAACTCACAGCCCATGTGTGTGTGGTGGCACAGGGCAGCAGCACCTAAATCCCCACTCTGGGTGACTGGCACCCGCAGCTCCAATGTGACACCTGGCATTGGATCCCCTGAATTTCTGCCTGTGTCCATCTTCCTGCAAAGAAACTCACTACAAACCCTTTGCTTGCAGCAGTTCATGCAGGAGGAAGCAGCTCAGTACATAGAGAATACTGAATCACTCAAACAAAAAAATACTTAATTATCAAACTTTAATTCATAAGACTAATCTTACAGAATAAAACACCAGGATAACCAGTCAAGGTTACACTTAAAAAATCCAGCAGTGCAAATCTAAGACTAAATATTTGTCATCTCCCCCCTCCCCCCAAAATAGGCAATAGATTATTTAAAAATACCATAATACATGGTACTCACATATTCCATTTAAAATAAATCTGCAGTGGACACAAATATCTAAGACTTTTTTTAATATAAAACCAAAGAATGAATTGCTTTGAGTATGAATAAGACAGAGTGAACTTCCATGAGCCACAAAGGCGAATCCTTGGCTAGAAGGTAAAATGGCCATATTTCATACAAGACTTATTACGGCTCTCCTGGTCCCCTCCTCCCCCCCAGTGACGAGGACATTAATTAACAAAACAAGATGCCAACAGCCTCATCCTAACAGGTGGGGAGAGGCTGGAGTACAGAACTGAGAGTGAAAACAGCTCCACTGGAAAAACCAAGTTACAGACGAAGAGAAGTAAGCAAAGGAAGGAAAGTCTGGAAACAAGCCCTGTGGTGTGGGCACAGCAAGGACGGGTGCAGGGAGTGCTGTGCCCGTGCCAGCGGCACTGGTGGGGTCAGGGACCATGGCTGTCGGGCAAGGGGTGCAGAGTGGACCCCAACGTGGTACCTGGGCAGTGGCACAGCAGGGAATTGGCCCTTTAGAGCACGGAGGAGCAGCACACACCGGCTGGCAGACACAGGCTGTGTGTGTCACGGGCACAGCACTGGGGTGCTAACAGTTTCTCATCTCATTTGAGTCCAGATCACTCTCTCCCATCACCAAAACATCCTGACTGTAGTTACACCTTCCTCATCAGTGTCATTAACGGAAATTAACCATTGACTTTAAACTTGGTATGAAACCGTGTACACAAGCTCTTCATGCAAAACGCAGTCTCTGTTCAAATGAACCAGCCAGGCTAAGCAACACACTCCTGCACTCCCAACACAATACTGATCCCAAGACTGCTTACACTTGGGATGCAGAAATGGAAACGGAATACTGAACTTGAGACAAGGAGAGGAAGAGAAACCCACAGTACTGGGCACAGAGAAGGGAAAGGGATGGCACACAGGTGAGCTGTGATGCTCAATGTCACAGAACAGGGTAGGAAGCTTGGGGACTGACATGGGAGGGATCCCCACAGATGGCAGAGGGGACTGCCCAGGCACTGGGAGCCACCAGCAAACACCAGCTGTGTCCTAAGAAACCCACATTTGCCCCTTGGATGCTTTAATCTGCAATTAGCAAACCTAGAAAGCACTTAGTGTAACCTCATACGGAGTTGCACCCCAGGATGCTCCCAGGGAATCACACCTACACACAGCAGGAACCAGTTGCTATCGAAAGCACCTTGTTAAATTGTAATTTAACCAAAACGCACTTTTGTGCAGCTGTTACCATTACCTTCCTACAGAAGATTACAGATCTAAGAACCATCTTTACCACCAACTCCAAATACTGAGTGTACTCGCACTTTACTCACAAGCTGCGTCTCACTGAGGACCAACCACCAAACTCCTTGCCAGGACCGTTGGTTACGCTGAGTCTGCCCTGGGATGGTCACAGTGACCAGAGACTAAAATCCAAAGCCAAGACAGGCTGGCAACAGCTGTGAGGCAACTGTGGCACTATCCCACTAAAGAGAGGGTGTTTCTTAATGTCAGTAACTGCCTTGGAAAAATTGGTGTAAGCCAGAACACACAAAGCTCCACATCATTCCCAAAGAGAAAGGATCTTAAATATGGTGCTGCTAAGTTCAGCTGGAATATTAATTCCAAAGAACTCACATGAAGCCTGGGATATTGAGTCAACAAACACCAACTAAAGCATTTTATAAGTCACTTTCCTGTGTTTTAATTCAAACTTTGCACACAGAACAAAAAAGTGAAACCATTTCATTTTTCCAATCAAATCCAACCTGAAAGGAAGCACCTAAACAGGATCACATTTTCTTAGTTTATAGTATTTTCTTCGTGTTTAAAACTGCTCTGTATGTGACCAAGGGGTTTGTGTTCAGTTTCTTTTGAGCTGCTGGGTTGTGCCTGGCCCAGGACGAAGAGTAACTGTGCCCCTGGGCAGGGAGCAGCAGGAATGTGACAAGCTGCCCTGTGCCCCGGTGCCTCAGCAGCAGGGCAGTACCTGCCCCCCTCGGCACTCGCCCCACAGTTACTCACCCGGTCACTGCGTCCTGCACAGGAGCTGGGGAGGAGCTGAACTCGGGCACGTGCCCTCTCCAGGAGCAGGGGGACGAAGGGACAGGAAAGGAAATGGAACATGAACAGATGCCCAGACAAGTCCGAGCAAGTCAAGGAGCAAGTGGGAGCTGATCATCACCCAGCCAGGAAGGTGGTAAGTGCCAAGGTGACCTCAGGTGACAGAAAGAGCCAGTGTTACCCTTTTTCTTTATTCTGCAGCACCCACACTTTCCACTGGGTAACAAATTGTAAATTTAAGCCTTAACACCAGGACTGGCAACCAGAAAAATCACACGTGTGTGGCTGCGTCTCTTCCACAGCGTTGTCACCAGTTAACTCAGGACAGCTCCCTCTGCCCTCGCCGCTCCATGAACAGCCCACGGCTCCTCTGCCCCGAGCCCCTCGTGTCAGGACACACTGCTGCTGGCTTGGACACAGAAAGGAAATACCTCAAGCTACAAGAGTAACAAGCACATCACTAGTTTCTACATAGGATATGAAATACCTTTAAAATCCATATTGCATGGCTCTTCTAACAGAAAATACAACCCAAAAGCTATCAAGAGGCTACAGGGAAATACGTGACCTTAACACCTACCAGAAAGCCAATGCTTTTCCCAGTCTCCCGAGTAAAATAAAAATAAAATAAATACTCATTTGGGAATTTGCACCTGCTGAGTTTCAGCTGGGTTTTTTCAAGGAGAGGGAAAAGTGCACATGGAGTATATTAAACTCAGCTGTTCCTAAAAGGCTGTTCCTCCATGAGTTGGAGCTACTGGCATGGAGCAGCCATGTGCCATGTCAGTGCCCCAGCACTAACACAGAGTAGGGATGTGTGAGCTGCTCCAGTCTGGCTGCACAATGGCACCTGCTACGGGCATGCACCTGTCCAGGGCTGAGGGCTCTGTCCACAACACCTGAGAGGAATGGCACGTGGATGGCTGGGATGGCACGCCGAGCCCGGCACGTTAGTTCAGACAGGATGAGGTGTGAGAGTCTCCTGTGAACTGCAGTAAGAGAAAAGCTGGAAGGTGATTTACATTTCAAAACATCGGTTGCTGGATAGATAATCTAAATTTGGTACAATTCAATGAATTCAAAAATCATAAATTTTCAAATCCAGGTCACAAAAGACTGCTGCAGTTATTAAGGATCCAAAACAGCATCTGAGCTTCTCTCTTCCCTGCTCCTCCCACCTCAAACAGGGCAGGAAGGACTCCGTGGTCCCCTCCCTTTGGGAGGTCGGTGTCACTGTGTCACCCCACTCACGCCAGACAGTGTTACGGTGTTTCCATCCATGTCACTGTGTCCCCCTGCTCACACCAGGCAGCACAGAGGTGTTTCCAGTCCAACGGGTCAGTGTCAATGCAGCAGCTGCAAAATGACTCTGGACTGCAACATGCAAGAAAATGCTCCCCAGCTGTAGCAGCCCAGGGCAGGAGGTGAACCACTGACCGGGCACGAGAGGGGACAGCAGGCAGCACCTGCCACAAAACATCCCCAGGGAATTCATCTGCTCCAGACAGGCTACAGAGACCAACCCAGAGATGTCAGTGTCGGGAAAAGGCAAGGAAAAGTCCCAAACAAGCATCTTTGGGTTAAAACAAAGAATTAGTTCTGCTACCAAAGAGTGGAAGCTGCCCTGGAGGGGCGGTGGGATATGGCTTCACCCAACAGCGACGCTGCACACGGCTACAGTTTGTTCTTAAAAAGCTGCTCCTGAAATCCTCA